ATCGTGTGTCTCTAAGGGAACCCATCCGATTGGCGCCCTTAAGAGGATAAAAGTTGACACAACCGAGAGCGTCCGATTCCTGATTGCGCATCTCTGGGTGCGTGTGCGCGTGCGTGTGCTTTGGGTGCATGCACCTGTCCAAAGTGAAAGGATACGAAACATAGTGAGACACACACACGCACAGACCCTCCGTCGGTTGTGCCTTTTCCATCCTACTGCCCAATTGGATTGTCAATCTTTGCCCAAACAAAATGTGTCGGACTGATAGGCGCGTGCCCTTGGCATTGCACACGAATTTGTGATTGTGAGTGCACGTGTGTGTGTATACATGAGCGTGGTGGCCTGATCCCACCTTGTCCTCGGACAAGGGGACGACTACTCGAATCCAACGTTGCCTCCAAGGTCGTCCACCCCTTGTCGGGACGAGACACACACGCACTCAACCGGGTTTAGTCATGACCAATTCGAGCATGACGGACGAGGCCGCATTGAGTGATCCGGCCACAACCTATCGAACTTTGTACCGCAAAAGACAATCGCCCAGTAGCAGTGGGACCGGCGCTATGAACGAGGCACCACGAAACGGGATGCGAAAGTATTGCAGACATGAAACACTCACATTGCGTGCTCTCATGGCTGGCAAAGTAAGTTCCAAACGATTGTTCTCATTCGGATCCATTCACTCATCTTCTGCGAGATTCACAAATGTGTTCATCTTAGTTCGGTTTTGCACACGGTGTTGAATTACATCCATAGTTTTGTTAGATGATACCATATTCTTCCATGTGCACTGACTGGATAGAACGTTTTATTGCCACCTAGTTGTACTAGTCTGACCGTAAATGCCATAAATCTACATATTTGACACTAATACTCTTAGGTCCACATGACTTCCCGAAAGGTTCTTCTTATCCTAGCTGTGCGTAGACAGGAAGTATTACTTAAGCTATTGACATTTGTAATCTGCGGGTGGGGCCGGCGGAGCTGAACAATGCATAATCACCAAAGAACAGGTAGTTACGAACAAAACACGTGGTTGCGGAAAAGTACATCTGGAATCGATTTTAATTTCACATCTGCTA